ATATTCTCTTTTTCTCGGACTTGACTGCTGTTAACCTGTCCTGACCAGTGATGCCAACCTCTCTCAGGATTACTTCACGTCGCTTCTTGTCGTGTACCAGGATGTTCGGTCAATTCGCATTTATTTTGATTGCAGTTCTCACTCGTGTATGGACTCTGATCTCAACATTCTCATTCGCGACGACCTCCTGAACAGAATGACTTCACAAGCGCGGGAATGCTTTCAGACCATACTTTTTGCAGAGTCCCAAGTGGATAATGCATCGTAAGGACGTCATTGTGTCTTCTAGTATAGTCGTGATGTAACATTTTTCCGCACTGCGTTGCTAGATGGTCCACTATCTTCACACGTTGCCTACAATGTTGGCAGATACCTTTCTCGGCTCCAAACATATTTCTGGCTTGAAGGTGGCACTATCACGCTTCATTCTATGGCGTAATATTTCCAAATCGTAGCCGCATTGATGAGTTTGACATTGAGGCTAGCTCATTTCTGCGTACTTTGTATAGCTTTGCATGACGAGTTTTCTTTTCTATTTCGTTATACAAGGATGCTTTCTGAGGTTCCAGTACGCTTTCGACGGTTTGGATTTTCTACAAGGTTGTATTTAGTCTGAAGATAGGGCACAATAACTGCTAAGTACGTGTTGTGAGTCTACAAGGTTGTATTTAGTTTGAAGATAGGGCTTATCCTGCTTCAAATTTGCCGCTTTCTTGGTAAATGTGGGTGCACTTTCCACAAATAATTGCAGAAGCATAAGCTCACTTCTTTTTTCAACGCAATGAAGCCCAGGTTCTAGCTCGTCCCTTGGCAGATACAGTCTCTCTAAACTTGCAGGTTGACTGTGAATTCTGTATCTATTTAGTAACTGCCTGATGTCATGGTCAATTGCTTGAAAGTTTTCTGGTTCCAGTTTGAGCACCCCAATATAATAGTTTGAACCTTTGGCGTGCTCATTTACTGCCTTGATAAAGTTCTTGCCGTTCAATGCAGTTCTGGCTAGTCGCTCAGTTATCGCCAAAATCTCTAATCGCACATTATCGTAATTTTCTCGGGTCGGAGCACTATATCCTGTTTTCCACTATTCCAAGGTATTTATAACCTTGAGCTCCTTCTAAGAGTACAACCTTATCAGCGCATACTTCAGTATTAGGAAATGACTTTGCTGGGTTCACCTCTAATCCCACTATTTCTTAGAACCTCTGGACTTCTTCCGCCATAGCTTCTATGATATCGATAGCAAGGAGCTTGAGATCATTCACAAATAGTAAATGATTCGTTATATGCATTTCTTGATCGGTGGTATCCAATTGCAACCTTAGCCGATTCACGCGTGCATGTCGAAATTTTCAATACACGTAGTCAAGTAATCGTGATAAACTGAGTCGAACGCTTTTTTAACATCATACCACGTGATATATAACTGGTTTCTATGCTCTCTGCATGCTGCAAGATTCAATAGTGCCTGCTCTCTTGCACCTTGAACCTTTCCAACACCTAATTGGTTGTCTGCAAGTAGTCTTTTCGTAACAATATCTATTTGTATGACTTGTGCTATACATTTGGTTGTCAACTTGTAAAGGTTTGACATGCAGGTTATTGGCTTGAAGTCAGTACCTTTATCTTTCAGAATCAGATACGTCGTGTCTTTGTAGACCGTGGATCCTGTTCTTCACATCCAAACAAATCCGCCTTGTTATTTTGTATAGATCTAAATGTAACGAGGCACACTTCTTAATGAAGATGTTATAGACACCATTAAAGCTCGCCACCTTTTATTGGACAAACAGGACACTATCTTTGCAAAGTCGGCTTCATATGAGAAAGTATCATGCACTTCATAATCTGAGACGAATTCTTCCACATATTCATTGTGCCGATGATCATCATCTCCCATTTTGGAATTCCACATCGTGGCCCAGAACTTTCTGATTTCTTCTATCCTCACAGTGTGGCGAGACTGTTCCTCAATTAGTTTCCTATAGAACCGTCTTCTGAAGAACTCAGATCTGGTGCTTTGGATTTTGAATGCGCAATGGGACTCATAACTTTTTATTTTATTTGTCATAACTCTCACAGGCTCTGTGAGCGTGCTTAGAACCCCATAACAGTCACGTTTAAGAAAGTATGAGATTCATGCTCTTCAATCGCTTTTTGGCCTCCCCCAGGTTTTCACCATGTGTTTTCTTTACCAAATAGCGCTCTATGAAAGTTTTGTGAGTGTTATTCAAACTGCTGTGCCACCTGGAACTGCCTTGTAATATTAGTCATTGATTTGGGTGGGTTCTGTCTGGGATAATCCATCTGCCGTTTGTATTACTACTCCAAGTATAAACTGTCGTCATCCCGAGATTATTATCCGTGTCCACTTTGGTTTTCCTCACGTGCTTGGCTTCTTACATCAGCACAAGGTACTTCTATTTTACGTCTAGATAAGCAGACTCATATAGCATATTTTTCTCGAAATATGTGTCTTGTATTCTGGCACTCCTTGTTGATTTCTTCAATAATCGCTTCTGCGAGCATTGACGACCTACAGTACTAGTGATTGCAGAATTTGCTTACTTGAGTTTTTAGAAGTTAATTGTACGCACGGACTTCTCACTGTCTAGAAAATGACTCATCTCTCTCTCAGTATCTTTTCGAAGGTCACGAACCGCCTCCAGCACTTTGTCTGGCCATCTGCTCTATTGAGCCTTGATTTCACTGGTAAATTCTTCGAGCTTAACCATATCGCTGATACCTAGTTCCGGTACAGAAGCAGATAGTTTGCCCATACCCTTCGCGCTTTTTACAGCTTCATCTTTTTCCCATTGTGGTTTCAGATGCAATTTATTTCCATTTACTTCCGTTTCCTGCTTTGTAGTGCAAATCAACGCTCAGCGACTCATTTTCTCGGAATCAACAACTCAGGAGCGTAGCAAAGTGCACAATATTATGATATAATATATTGTGAAAATTTTTACCTAGTACTATATAATATAGTGTTTTACATTGAGATATTTAGCAGATTTGCTATTAATGCTTCCAACTTTCGTTTATTGCTCTTATTTTCTATCTTTAACTTACTGTAATAAAATTTTCCAAAGTACTGTTTTCTGTAGTTATAGTTATGCAGGTGGCATGGCGAGAGCGTGATAGTTATTCTCGAATTAATGCAGCTTATAAAGCCCTAGAAATTAATCCTGAATGTGCGCCAGCTTTAATACTGTTGGCTGAGGAACAGTGTCAGACAATCATGGATGTGGAACAAACATTAAAGTATGGTAATCAAAAATACATAATCAAAAATATTTTTTTTGAAAAGGCTGTGGTGATGTCATGTTTATTTTTCTATATTTTCTCTGATCTCTCATCCCTAATATCATGCAGTCTCAAAGCAACAATTCTGCCATCTAGTCAAATAATCGTGACTTTTGTGAATATTTACTTGATTATATTATGATTCATGTAATGATATTGGAGCTGCTCATAATTCTGACTTTTAGTTTGTCTGAATCCTATGTTTTAGCATATTTTTAAATAGTTGTAATGTTTGGTTATGCGATCTTTATTTTATGCATATATTAAAATTTAGTGATCGAGTTTCTGTTCATTACTCTTATTTTTATGACGTTCCAGACGAGCTCTAAAAGTAACAGAAGCAAATTATCGCAAATCTCAATCACAAGTGCACTATGATTTGTCGTCAGATCCTGTGCATAGTAAGTTATTTGAATTTGTATTTTATAACTCTAAGTGTTTTACTTCATAATGTTCAAATTCATGTTGACGACTACTAACTTTGTATGTCTTTTCGTTTATTTTCTGAAGAAAGATGCATTAAGTATTGTAATAAAATTTCTGCGTTCAACTAATGCAATTTCAGGGCGTGATGTCAATTTGCTTGTTTTTGTACGCCGACGATTGGCTATGTGTGCGAGACGACAGGGCAGATTGCGCGAAGCCGTCAAGATAATGCGAGATGTTAGTCTGTCAAATGAGTTTTTCATTTTAGTTGTTTCCAAATTAAAATTCATCAACAGTTAAACTATACCTTATTATCCACCTTGACTTCTGGTTCGAAAACTTGGAACAATGAGACATTATTGTCGTACAAAAATTATGATTTTTTTAGTGCTTCATTAGTCTTGAACTTTTTCAATGGTTTTAGCTAATCAAAGAGTTTCCGATGCTCAGTGTTATGAATATCCATGAAAATCTGATTGAGGTGTTGTTAGAGCAACAGGCTTATGCTGATGCTCAAGCCGTTCTTGCTAGATATGACGGTAGGGATTTTCCGTCATTTATTTAAACTATTGCATAGAGTAGTACTGCTCATTAGATCTTCGTTGAATGATGATTTTTGTGCTTTGTATTATGTAATCTTTCTTTATTACTTTTTCCAGATATTAGCTTACCAAAATCTGCTACTATATGCTTTACATCGGCCTTGTTAAAAGTAAGAATTGTAGCTGATAAGTAAGTATTTTTTACACTTTGTAGCGTGTTTTCATGAAGACTTCTAGATTCCACTTTTTTTTTACCGAGAATGATCGATTTTTTTATTGCATGAAGCATTTTACCTTCATCAATAATTTTTAGGACTTTTTTAAGAGATACATTATTCATTTTAAGATTCACACCAGATCTGGTATTACGTCGAGGATTAAGTGCTGCAGAATTGAATGCAGTTGATGCCATACATCGAGCAGTGGAGTTTAATCCTCATGTTCCAAAATATCTTTTGGAATTAAAGCCACTGATTTTGCCGCCAGAGCACTTGTTAAAACGGGGGGATTCAGAAGCGATTGCTTATTCGTTTTGGCATTTACAACATTGGAAACGGATAGACGGAGCTCTTTTATTACTTCAATGTACATGGGAAGGAAGTGAGGATCTTTTGTTTTGGATTATTATTGACAAAGTGATAGTTATTTCATAGAAAATAAAATCATGCATCACTATATAATTTATTTTCATTTGAGCATTCCGATTAGTACCAAATCCGCTAGAAAAAGGACATCTTTTTTATCCATATCCATCGTGCACTGAATCTGCTGATCGTGAACTACTTCCATGTAAGTTTTCTTACTTATTCATCATGACAGATTTTTTTCTAATAGTATTTTGAACTATGTGTAGCACTAGTATAGCTTTATTGAGTCGGATTATTGATCATCATGTTTTAAAAGAAATTATCTTTTGAAGCTTGGCACGATGTATCAGTGTACCCGAAACGTGATTTGCCATTTTTCACTGTTCTCACGGCTTTGCTTTTCTTCATGACTGCAGTTTTAGCTGTCGCCACTCATCAATATCCAAAAGTAATTTTTCGGTTGGCTTTTTATATTGAGATCTCACAATATCAGTAAAGCGGTATCAAGATAAGTATTTTGATTGGTACGGAATCCCTTAAGAATCAAGAAGCTTGTTATAACAATATCAAGCATCAGTTTTGATGCAATTTTCTAGTATTCTATAGTTAGGCATGATTTATGAGGGTACGTAAAACTACCACATAAATTACGTATTTTATATCCTTCTTTGAAGCTTTAATATCATAATTTAATGTAGAGTTTGGATGATAATTTTTGGATTAGCGTTCCCTGCTTATTTTTAATATCTCATGAATTTGTACATTTCAGGAATATTTACAACCCTTAACATCGATTACAAGTATATTCTTTGGCGTAGTTGATGGCGTTTTTAGTCTTGTCCCAGACAATGTTATTAACCTGCTTGCTTCCAAACCTTATGTCCCGCCATCTAGTGATTCTGTTGGTTAAACTTCATACATACAGAAGGAAAAGGATGAAAAATATTTATATCTTGAAAAGTTTGCTAGAATTTTGCAGGTTTTGATTTTGTTAGACGAAAGTTATGAATTTAGAGAAATAATAGAAATTTTAGCTCTTATTTTGAAGGATGTTGAAAATGGTTTGCATTGCTTAAAATTGATTTTCATTTGAGACAGTTTTTAATTTGCTTTTTTCGCTTTTGAAGTATTGCATCATATTAAAAGTACGAAAGTATGATTCTGTATTCTCGTTGTTCATTTTGCTTTGTTTCTTATTATCAAAAAATTATCTCAAGAATTTGGTCTGAACTTTATTGCTGTCATTATCATGATGCTTAATAACAGGAATTAGGTGGGCAGCTACGACATTTGATTAATCTGCTTTTTGCTTAACTTTTATTAGGAATATTTTTTCACCTTTTTATTTTTAAATTAAGATTCGAATGCAGAGATTATGTTGCAGCGTGATTGTTAAGATGGCATTTTATGGTATTATAAACATAAGTGGTATTTTTATGTTTTACTTTATTTGTTTACAACATGGTTTTCTGCCAATTATGAAGTTCCATTCTTTTTGAATTACTTTTGCAGATCTCCATGCTTGTTGTTAGATGTGCAATATTGTTGCATAATTAAATAAACGGTTTTTTCGCATAAAAAAAATGTCATGATTCAAGTTCTGGTTTGATTGTTTCTCTCAGAAGATTTTATGTATATTTAATGACCTCTGGTTAAAAATATTTTCCATTTTTTTTACTTCCAGCTAGGTTATTCCTTGTGTGGAACTTCGTTTTCTGACATATTTCTGAGGCTTCACTTCACTATGAAGACGAAAGGCGATTGCAGACACTAGTGTCAAGGGATTTATTTCTTTATTGGTAATCATTATTCGTAGATTTAGTAGCTCGTCATTCTGCAAGAATGATGGTTTCATTCTTAATATTTCTGGATTTCTGTGGGAGTGAGGAGACAACCGTTTTTAGAGGTTGTCATGTCGAATGGGGGGCAGTTCGGTACCGCTCTCGAAGCGAAAAGACTTTGTGAGAATTTGCTTTCCGACCTGAGGACGCTATCAACAGAAGCAAGAAAGAAGTATTCTCAGGTTAAAGAGGTAGACGTTTACGCTATATGATAAGTGTTGCATTCATGTTTGTGAGGTTTTGATTTATTTTCAAAAATTGTTGCAATAACCCGTTTTGTGTGGGTCAAAAAATTTCGATCAAGAATCATGGTGCGCGGGTTAGGTAGGTATTTTTTCGCCCCTCGAAAATACGTGAGTTAAGGTTTTGCTGAATTTACGGTTAGTATCTCTCTGGTCGCTCGTACTATATTTTATTCACTTTGCAGATCTTGAATGCTCGCAATTTTTAGGCAGCAGAATTCGGTCTAGTGAAAATAAAGAACATCAGTGCTGCATCCAATGAGCACACTTTGCTGACTAATATTCGTGAAGCTAGTGCAGAAATATTACAACCGCTTATTTTGGGTTGTTCGAGTAAGAATGCTCGTCTTGTTCAGGTTTCTTTGCAAGCCATCCAGAAAATGGTGCAACATCGAGTTATCGAATCTGTACGTTTTCTGTTTCGTTATTTCATATTTTTAGTCGAAAGAAAAGTAAATATTACAATAAATCAATGCAATCACCTATCTCAGGATGCTTTTTCATAAATTTTTGTTTTTATTAGCCACAGTAAAGAAGTGAGATTTCGATTTATAAAAGAAACAGGAAAGGTTATATATTGCATTTTTTTAAAATTTTCCATAATAAGATTTTCGATGTGTCAAAGAGTCAGTTAGGAAAGTGGGCGAAAAGTATAATGCTGCGGTAGTGCGAGCTTGGTTTTGAAACAGGGCAATTAAAAGCTAATAGATGTCGGATATAACAAAGACTACTGAAGCATTCAGTATGAAAGCTGCAAGCAGAGTTTATTTATACTGCAAATAAATAGTATTTACAGGCTTCGGCTCATATTATAGTCAGTGAACTGTGGCACTTAATGGAAGCTGAGTGTGAGGAACTACGAATTTTGCAAACTTTAGCTCCTCTTGTTGGCACTGAATTGTTGGTAACTGGACAATGGCTTTCAAAGGTTAGTTTTGTAAGAAAATTGCTAATAAACTGTTGGTTACTATAGACCATGTATTTTTATTATTTTTTTCAGTGCTTAGTTATGTGTTTCCGTTTAAATTTTGCAAAAGATCCTATTGTGATAAATACGGCATCAGCCACTGTTCGACAGTTGGTGAGCTGTGTTTATGAACGAGTTGTCCAGGTAGTTTTATTTCAGAGATTTATGTTCTAGAAATTTGCTTTTAAGTGAAGAAAAATTATGTTCCAAAGATTTATTTGTTATACTATATATTTTTATTCTGCTCATATTATATTTTAGTTTGCGTATCGCGATTTTTTCCAGTCTAAGGTTGTTAAAGGATATGAATCTTAATAAATATAATGATTTAGTAATTTGTATTTCAAAACTACTGATAATGAGGAACTGTAAAAAATTTTGTTAAGGAAGATAGCTGGAAAAATTCTGAAGTGACGGTGAGTCATCAAGCTCTTCGAGTAAATGCAAAAGCTCCACCACCAACATTAAGACCTTGCGCTTCAGACAGTTACATGTTGTTTTACGTATGTTGAGTTTCAACCATTCAAAAATGAGTGCATATTAAATTATGGTTAATCTTTCATAATTATGAATTAATTACGACCTGGAGTTTTTCTTGCTTATGTTTTAATTTCAGTTTTTTCGGATCTCAGTTATTAGAAATCGAAATTTTTGTTGTCCGATCTGTATGCTTGAGTACTGCTATTTCTGAATTCACATTATTACTATTGATTTCATTTTTTCAATCTGTTAAAAGTGCATTATTTTTTTCAGGACTTATGTTTGTTAATTAATGCCGAAGCTCCTTGTTGGTTGATTGGAATTCATGAAATGACACGTACATTAGGTTTAGAATTGCTGGAATCAATACTTTCTTCTTATCCTTCTGTATTTACTAAGGTTTCTTTCCGAAACGGCTGGTTTCCATTTTATTTATCATTGTGTAAGGAACATTAGCACTTCGTTAATTAGAACATTTTATTACATATTTTTAATAACCAAATGTTTCCATTTCTTTTTCAAGGGCATCGAATGTCTTTTTCTTGTCCGAAATCGACTGAAAATTTTTGCAGCATCCTGAGTTCGCGCAGTTATTAAAAGATGAAGTATGTCCTTTAATTATCAAACTGTTCGCACCAAATCACAAACAAATGCAAGTTTGTTTTTTGTAAATTTTCGTTTCATATGTAGATTTTTTTTTAATTTCAATCATTTTCCTTATATTTCAAAATCTTTTGAAGCATGATGCAGTTTTCTTTGTATTTCTAAATGCTGTGTATCGTATGTTGCTTGTATTTGATCTAATTTGAACTAGCAGATCACATCCCAGCATCCGTATTCTTCAAATTCTCGTTTGTCATCAGAATGTGTTTCATCACAGATACCCAGTTCACCAGAACGCGTATATTTTCCAATTTTGATGCGGCTTTTGCGTGTTATTGTAGTTTTGATCACATTGTATTATAACTTATTGGTTAGTTATTTTTATCACTTTACTTATTGGAAGTCAAATTGTGATTTAACACCTTACACTCTTAAGAAAAGGATTTATTTAGACTTCGTGTAGCTGTTAATTCAGATTTTATGTGCACTGGGTTTTTCTAAATGAAATTTCAGGTAACAGAGTGTGAAATATTTCTTTCTTTGCTCGTCAAGTTTCTAGAATCCGACAAACTTGGATGGCAACGCGCTATTGCTCTGGAAGTGTTACACAAAATTGTTGTTTTGCCTGAACTTTTGATGTACTTACATTATCGTATTGTATTTTTAAAAATTTCATATAATTCGATCGAAAAGCTTTAAAAAACTGGTTTTAGTTTTAATGGTTTTATTTCTCGCTCAAAATTATCGAGTATTACTGGGAGTAAATATTATTCAGATGGTTCTGCAAAAATTATGATGTGAAGCCAAGTGCTACGAAAATTATCAGCCTAATTGTATCTAGTTTAGCGGGATACGTACACTCATTGTTCCTATATCCTAATGTATCGGAAATTTGTAAGTTAATTTCGAAGCCGTTCTAATATCGCAGTTCATTCTGAATTAATTCTTGTGATGAGTTGTTTCATAGAAACAAAGGTATTTATGAGTAAAAATATTTAGAAATTATTTTAGTAAATAAGGATGAAGATCAACTGTGTGAAACTATTGTTCATTCAAGTACGCAATCAGGCTTCCATTATAATGGTGTGTGGGTCCCTCTGTGCGAGAATATTACTTCTAGGAAGTCTCTATTGTAATTTTTTTAGTTTTTCTTTGTGATAAAGTACCTGCTACTTCAATCAGCAAATACATTAGCTTTTGTCATCTCATACATCTTCTAGATTCGAGTAGTTTATGCTTTTATATCTATTTGCATTGCCAGCAGTGATACTTCATTCCAAACGAAGCATTTTTTTTGCTTATGTTGCGCTCTATTGTGTCTGCTACAAATTATTATAAAATTCATGCTAGATAAAACATTTTTCAGGCTGGATTCGCTAGAAAAACACGAAGCATCAAATATATCAGATGAATATGCATTATCTTTGACATATAATTGTGTAATTAGCTGCTGTAATTCAGTTTTCGAAGCTGCCGAATCATTGCGTTCTCGAGAAGAAAGGCCAGGTTGTGCTTTATATGTTTCGAAAAGTTCGTTTAGTTAATTAATCAAGTTCATTTCATTTTGTTTTTCAGTTTGGATATTAAGTTCAGTTCTTACAGATGTGGCACGAGAATTGTATGACTCAACATATGCTAACCTTTTAACTGCAGTTTCAATTTTTCTTGGTGCAAGGTGTGCATTATTGATTTAAATCATGAATTTTAGAGTATTTTGCATTTTTTCTGTTCCAAATTGGATCTTTTAAAAGTAGACCGAAATTGTACCAAAGAGCCACTAACTCTTGACTACTTTGTACTTGCATCATCTTTTTTAATTTGTCGTTATTTCTGTTTGAATCATCGTAACGTTTTATGTATTTTCAGTGTTGACGAGAACGTTACGGATCAACTTCTGAAATGCTTCACTTCAATGACACTTTTATCATGCCGTTTGGGTAATACATCTGGACGTGATGCCACTTTTTTTGCATTATGTAGAGCTGCATTACCTCCCAAATATTTAGTGCGGCTTTTAAGTGGTATTCATGGTTTGTGTTCGATATCCACTTCATTGGTATCACTCACTTCTCATTCTTACATAGAAGACAAATTTGCTGGTATGTTGAATTTTTCCATGTATTTTTCAAGGGTTGATTTCTATGTATACAGGCTTTGTAATAAGTACTGCCTTTTTAAGGGATCATTTTCTGACTTTTATTTTATTGTTTTCATCTATTAAATTATGTATGCTTTTTAATTATTGCAAATATAATGCATGCAAGAATAATTTGATTTCTAGAACTTAAAATGGAAAAATTTGAGAATGATCTAGCATCCACTCAACCAAGTCAAATTGTAGCTGTTGGTACCATATGTCCAACTCCCTCCCTGCCATTAAGCATGTACAGTGCAACTATTATGGTACATGGCCTTTCCAAAGTTCTTTTGATTAGTTGTCTCGATTTTTTTTTCAGGATTTCGGTCTTGGTTGTTCTGTAATTTTTTTGTTTCGTGCATTTCAATTGTGCTAGCTTTTTTTCCTTTAGCTAACTGCCAAGAATATTCAAGTAGCGCGTGTTTTGGTAAGCTGTGCTACAACTAATGGTCACGAATTGGGGAATTGTTGGCATCTTGTTCTAGGGTCGATACAGCATTTAGTTTGGATTTTAGGAATGGCGCCAAGTCTTTCTGAGTGTACGTGGCATAGTCTTTCAAATCGCTGTTTCTTTTTAAATCTGTTCGAAAAGTATAAAAATTTTGCTTTTGAAAGACGGACCAATCTTCACAAATTCCTAATAAAACTCGAAGGGTTTGCTCGAGCTTCGAAAGTAATGTTTTAGAAGAGACTTGATAAAAACAAATTTTTATAGGTGAGGTTTGTGATGGAACTTCTCTTACGATTGCTTCACATTCTAATACTAATGTTCTGACAACAGCTGCAATGGCTGATATCCCAATTCTGGTATATTTACTTCACAAGTTCATTACAATGAAGTATTTGGAACTTCTTTAAGTACTGTTTATTTTCTTAAAATTTGCTATATATTTAGACGGTGATGTTGAACGAGTTGTTTGACTCAACGGCGAAACTTGACGAAGTTGCATTGCACCACGTAATTGCTGCTCTTTGCAAACTTTCTTCTGAAGCAATGACTGTAAGCAGTTAGAAATATTCATGTTGTATGTATCAGTGTGTTTGTGGATATGGTTGATATTTCAGGTTTCACAGTGTGGCTCACGCGAACCCTCATTCTTTCCTTTTGCAAAACTACTGCAAACAGGAATGGCAAATCTTTCGCGTTTAGAAGTGTTTTGGAAGCCGGTAACGGCTCATTTAATTGAGGTACTGCTGTTTGAGATAGGTCGTACTGTATCATAATTACTCTCCAATTTTAATAAATTTGATTCAATGTTGAAGGTATCAGGTCATCCTTACGCGAAAATACGAGAATGGGGAGCTCATGCCTTGACAGTTTTAGTGAAAAGTGCCTTCAAAACCAAAACTGGAGTCATAGAATCGGTTGTTCACTTATTATTTCACGTTTTTAGGAATTCGATCGATACTTTTGTTGTGTTGTCAGCGGTATTTCCCAGCTATCTGCAGATATGCTTATTTTTATTGCTTTTAATCGTTTTAGGTCATAATTTGAGTAAATAGTACGAAATGTGCAAAAAAATTTTGTTTTGAGAAAACAAATCATCTTTTATATTATTTGAAGTAAAGTACACTTAAGAACTTAGAATGTGATAATAGGTTTTGAAAGCCGCTTTTTTAAAATAATGATATGCTTAGTACATTTCAATTTATTTTTTTAAAATTATTTCTTTTCATATCAGTTACAGAAACGTCAGGAGCTTATACTGTCACCATTATCTTCTATGTCTGAAATCGAATACGTCGATGTCCGTCGAAAACAAATTGAGTGCCTTCTTATTGTATTGCAATCAGCTGGACAGCAATTTACTGCAGATCAGTGGCCGACTGTTATTGACACTGTCCGTGTTGTTGTAGAAGGGAAATTATGGTTCGCCTTTAATGTAATTGATTTTTTATAATTTAGATATCGCAACTAATAGCTAATACTGTATCGAAGATTTCTGTGCACCGCATAATCATTGTTCGTTTGGATTCAGCTTCAGAATAATTTCAATTTGACCTCTGTTGGCGGGCATTTATTAAAAATAGTAATTGCAATTTTTTGACATTATGATATCAGTTGGATTATTTTCATAAATATATTAATTGTTAAAAATGAAAGAGGTTTTTATAATATATAGTTGTGATGAAGTTTTGGTGAAACAAAGTTATGAGGCAATTTCGCTGATAATTACTGATTTTCTTGATACATTACCTCTCAACTGCATCCAGCTTCTTGTTGAAACCGATGCAAAATATGGTTCGCAGCAATGTGAACTAAACATATCGCTTTCAGCTCTCGGACAGTTGGTGAGTTTTTAAAGCAATCCAAGTATTTATGCATGAAAAACCAAGTCCTTAATTTTGTGGTTGCCAAGCATGATTTTGTTGGAAATTAATTTTATTATTCTCAGTGGACGATCTCCGACTTTGTTTATCGGAATAGCTTAAAGCTTCATCAGAAAGACTGTGAAACTATTTGGTTGGTGCTTTATAATTGTCTGTCTGAATTGTGCGTTGACATCAGACCACCTGTTCGTAAAAGTGCTTGTCAGACGTTGCTACAGACGATTGCAGCACATGGCTTGGCTCTTAAATTAGTCACCTGGAAGCACATGATTTGGAAGGTATTGAAGTTTAATTTTCACAGCTCATCATAAAAACTTTAATTACCTGGATGAAAGTGGTTTAGTCGATACTGAGATATGATGTATATCTTGTGGAGTCTCCAGATATTGCATTTATGAAAATTTAGGTTATTTTTCCCATGTTGGATAAAGTACGAGCTTTAACACGTAGTGCCTCAACGACTCGAACCGATAGTTCAGCTTTGGGTGCGTCAAACATTCTCATTCATCATTCAAGAGATACTGAATCAAAGCAGTGGGCGGAAACATCGGTTCAAACTCTTAGCGGTGTTGTCAAAATTTTCAATGCTCAGCGAGCACTTTTGCTCGCACTTGGTTAGTTCATTTTACGATTCCAAACATTCAAGTTTACAGAAAATGAAATCCTGATGTAGTGAAAAAGATGATGTGGTGTTTAAGCTGTCGGAAAAAAAATCAGCATTCACTATTGCATTGCAGATGATTTTCCAGCAATTTGGACTACTTTTCTTCATTACATCGAGTATCTTGCTGCATCTGGTAATTGTGAAATGACATTAGCTGCACTAAAAAGTTTTCAGGTGCGTGATTCTCAACAATAAAATTATAATTGCATTCTCAATTAACTATATTTTGTATTCCTGATGTTGATTGGTTGCAGGAATTACTTGTTGGCAAGGGAACATATCAAAATTATGAAGTGAATGTGAATGAAAAATTTCCCAAGTTAGTTTTTTTTGGTTTTTGACATTTACAGACATTCATTTTTCCCAAAAATATACTATTTACATTTTTAAAAAATTCGAATCTTCGAGTTTGGGCTGAAACTTTTCCATTGTAATTAAGTTTTATTTTAGTATGGGTAAGTAATTAGTTTCCATCATATGATCATTTTCTTTAGCATTACAAGTGGTGGACATATTGATGATGAATTACCAGATTTAAGTGAAGAATTATGGCTCGTTTGCTGGAGAGTATGTTTATCACTTGGGTGTTCGTAGTTTCTTTTTATCATGTTTTAAACATTGTTTGGTTCGGTAAAGTTTGGCTGACTACAGAAAAATAAGGTTTTTTTTTTTAATTTAAATTGATAATTCTACTAAGTTTTATTTTTTCAAGAGCTGGTTAAGCATGGCGCGAACTCTGGTCTTAGTCAAACGATTGGATCTCGATGATGAATATGATTCTTCATTGGCATCTGCAAGAAGGTTTACATATGCAAAATTTACGGTGTTTTCAGTACATAATTGGTTGAATTGGTGTGCTGCATAGAGCTGAGTGGTATTAACCGGATATTCTCTTAATCCTTTGTGTATGTGAAAATATTGTCATTGCTTAATTATTTTGTAAATATCAATGAAAGTTGTAGTGAACGAAAGTTCATTCCTGGACCAGCACATCTCATCACATTGCTACATATATTTGTTCCTTTATTTAAACGAGTGCACAAAGGCGTTTCGTGTGATGATTTCAAACATGATGGCATACCCAGTATTTTGGAGGTATATATTTTTGTACTAATTTCAGTTCATAAATGTGTTCATATTGAAAAGTTGTTAGTTTTTGCAGGGCATTGTAAATGTTCCGCTAACAACAGATCCAGTTCGCTTTGTAGCGGCAAATGCAAATGATATAACACCAACTTTAGAAGCCGTTCTAAATTGTATTCGAATCATATATCAGGTTTCGAGTATTTATACAGAGCGGAATTAAAATTGGATATTAAAGAAATGAATTTCATGAAAGAGTTATTTGCAGGATATGTTAGAATCGAGTTCAGTGTTACGTTCAGCTTTGCCAGATCTCATTCGTTTGGTGCTTAGTTTCACTACATTTGCTGTGTCTTCGGTGATAGATGAATATACTCCAAATAAAGCAGAAAATGTAATTTTGTATAGTTTGTTGTTTGATATTATATTTGCTAGCTAGAATTGGTAAGTAAATGTTTTCCGTACTGTCATTTATTAATAAATGCAAAAAAGTATTTAAAAATGTTAAGGATTTGTGGAAAAAGTTTCGAATCATTTTAAATTTAATTTGTGCGCAAATTAAATTTAAAATGATTCGAAACTTTCTATGAGGAAAGGGATATGCAGTAAAAAAGTGATTTGCATATTGCTGTTTATTGCAGAAAGTGATAATGAATATGGTGCCTTTTGCGGAGTTATCATTACGTATAGTGGTGGAGTTTTATGCCAATACTGCTCATTTCCAGGAAATTGTCTATTCTGCTGTAATTGTTGATATTGTGAAGGTATATATAAGTGAAATTTTGATAGTTAGTGCCTTGTCTACATATATAACAAGTTTTGAAGCTGTAAGGAACTTGAGGAATGTTCAAACAAAACCTTGACAGTAATTTATTTACAGGCATCTAAAGGTTGTTATGATTGCTACTTAAGATAACGCATATTATAATTTATCAAGCTATGTGATGCAGCTGAAATTGTTTAAATATTCACTATTTAAAATTACGTTTACTGTCTGTTTGTCTTAATATGAAATCGATTTTGTCAGGTTTTGCTTTTAGCCATATTGCAAGTTTTTGTTTAGTGTTTGGCTCAACCAATGGAACTTAAATACCAATGTCCTTTTCAAAGTACATGGAAAGCAGCGGCCTCAGCTTTCGTTACTGTATTACGTGTGGGTCTTCCTATTGCCAGACAACAGTGTAAATTTCTGAATTTCCAAGCTATTTGCAGAGTGTGCATTATTTTATTGACTAGATGTATGAAGAGTAATGGTTTTGATAATTGTTTATTATTTTTGTGGAACCAGTGAATATAATTATTTATTCTAATAAACTTTTCAGATCAGCGTTTTCATGCTTTATGGCCAGTAATTGCTACTACAATTGATCGTTTTCTGTTTAATAATAGGTATGAGCAAATTTACATTTCATGTTTTGATTTGTCATGGTAAAAAGTACTTTTTTTTGTGGAGGAAATGCGTGATATGAAATCTTTATTCTTTAGTTATTTGTAATGAATTTTCAAATATACATATAAATTTCCAGTCGTCCTTCATGTCCCTTAAATGCTGACGAACGGAAGAAGCATGAATTTATTGACTGTCAATTCATAGAGCTTATACGAACTGAGGTTATCTCGTTGTTTGTAGACAAAAACCTGCAAGCGCAGACTATATTACCATTAACATCCATACTTTGGATAATATCAAAAATGTTGTTGATTGATATGATTGCCTTTTAAGGTTTTCTCATCATCAACAAAGTTATCAAATGATGTCCTCTATATTTTCGAACTAATATGAGATTAGCTGTAACATTTTGTCAAATCTAGACTCATTTTCCCTATGCTATTTATAGTATTTTCAGATATTGCCTTATACAAATATGTTGCCCTCGGATTTTATGCAGAAAATAATCGATACACTGAATCGAGGCTCTATAAGTACTGCGGACTCTTCTGATGTCCTTGGTATTATTTTATTGCTTGCTTCATATTACCGAAATGTGGTACACTGTATAAAAGTTAGATTTAGAAACCTGTAGTTATGTTATCAATATTTTCGGTGAATTTACTCTTTCTTTAAAAATGAGTTTGCTATGCAAATTTTGTGGATAATTCATTTAATGACATGTGTCATTTAGTGGTGAAATTTTTTTGTAGCTTTAGACACATATGCACAGCGGACGGAATTATCCAAAGTATGCTTTGAAGCATTGTTATCAATGAGCCAGAACGAGGAACGCCTAAATGTTATACGCGGTGTAGCAACAGTGAAATTTTTTGGTTGTTTCATTCATATAAGATTATTAGATTTTGATCAAAGTTCAAATCAGATTTTTATAAATTTCTTCAGATCAAGGCTTATTATGCAGTTTTTATTGCTGTGGTCAAATATTTCCTCAAAAGAAATTTTTTTTAATTTTTATTATGGTGATAATGCTATAATTCGAGAGTTTTCAAGAACATAGTGTTGATATGGATGGAAATAAGGCAAATCAACAGTGTATTTCGTCATCAAATCTGGGTACTTCTGCTATCTCTTCTCTTCTTGCCAGATGCAAAGAGGTGACATATTTTGGAATTTCGTGATGGTTAAATTATTGCATTTCTTTTTAATTCGTTCAACTTTGGTGCTGCATAAATCGTCTTTGATCTTCCTACGACGAAATTCTTTGGCTATAGGTAATGTTATTGTTTGTACGTGATGAACTCAACGCTGGACATTTGCGCTTATCTCAGGAAAGGATCGTTGAAATGATATCAGTTTTACATGCTATTAGTACACTTATCGAAGGGCTTGTACGTCGTATTGATAACGTAAATGTAGATTTTTACCAGGAGCTTGTAAATTTGTATCCAACTATTATAGACTGTATAACAAGCACGAGATCAGATACTCAGGTTTGTTATTTATCATTCTATGGCTCTAACATTTGCTCGCACTGCATTCTTATATTATTTTTCATGGCTAATAGATCTCATTGATATGGTATGGCTACACAGTTTCTGGTGTTCTGAGAACTCTAACTCTTCATGTTATAGTTTAGGGTAGTCAGTTTCACAGTTGCAAGCAATAAAAATTTTAAAAATTGTTGGATATAATTGTTTTCAGGTTGAACAAGCATTAATTGCTGCCCTCAAATCTTACCACAGACTGCTGTTGCTAAATTTACATATTTCCGCTAAAGAATAACATTATCTGACGAAGTCGTCCTTTTTGCCATTGTTGCTTATTAAAATAGGACAATCCTATTGTGTCACGATACTCATCATTATATCGTGGTAGAAGTTATATTTTGATATATTTATCAAGCTTAACAGTAAAATTTCATTTAAATTTCTTGTCCATCCTTCTTATTTGCATTATTTGTTTGTTAGGATAACATTATCGCATGTGTTTTCTAAATGAGTTTTGGCTTAATTTGTGACTCCTCTGATACGTTTGAAACACTGAGATGGAACTTCTTGAGGGCAATAAAATCAGTATTTACCATCCAATCTTTGTCCACTTCTCACGTAATCCGGTAGTGATGACTAAAACCTCCTTCTCTGTCGTTAAAACATTGTCTCTACCTTCTTCCTATTTTAATTGTTTATTGTAAATCCTTAATATAATCAGACCGAAAAGAATTACAGTAGTGGGTTCTTCTACTTACCAACTAATTTTGTGATTCATTCACCTTTCAGTGTTTCTCCACTGTGTTTAGAATCATCAATTTGCATTATTTTTAAAATGAAGCTGACGTTTGTTAAAAATGTATGTAGAACGTTACAATCGGCTTCTGTACATCACATTTTACATGACTTGTACGTTATAAGAATGTTGTGCTGGTTGCGGAGGGATATTTTAATAAAATGGAGAAATTCGACTTCCATCGTAATCAACGTAGGGTATAAAGAGACTTGTGCTAGAAAAGAATACAGGAACTGGTCATGGTGAAACAATTTCCTGTACGGTAATACCGTTGCTAAGAGCAGAAGATTTCTGGAAGCTAGTTGGTCAAGGAAGGATTAACACCTGAGTGAGGAGTAATCAGTTGTACAGTTCCAACACAGTGTAAGGCAAAAGAATGTCTAATGGTAAACAGTTATCTGATAAATCTTGATATTCAAAATTGTGGTTTGCGGGTATATTGTTACAAGTGCTCAGAATACAGATCATAATTAATTACATATAACCGTCGTGGATGGTTAGGGATGTCTGTTAGCTGATTTTGAAAATAAGATGGACTATAAAAAAGTCAAGAAGAAATTAACGACATTATTTTAATGTTTCTGCCTTATGGACTCACGGTACTATATGGATGATGTTCTAAATGGTGTTTCTGAATATTTTCGCAACTATTAAAATCAGAAAAAGATGACTTTGAGTTTGGGGTTGAATTTTTTACATTTTATTAAAAAAGATATTTCTCCAATCATTCAATTCCTGGCTGCAAGTTTTCATGACACTGTCGCTGTTCATCGATTTAAAAATTTTTTAGAAGATCAACAAGTTCTTTTTAGTGGCATAAAAAATTGTCTCTTCTGTACTACGTAGAAATAAGGAATGGTTGTAAGTGTAGAATGTGCCACGAGAATCGTGCTATTTGAAGTACGACATTTGTTATAGTGGCATTTTAATATCAAAAATATTTTGAATATTTGTCATACTATTCTATTCTCTGAAAAATGAAATTAAATACCCGTTTCCATTTTGTTGACTTCCCTAACAATCAAAAGCAATCAATTAAAAAGTAGTGTCATGAGTAAAAATTTAGATGACTGGGGAACGGTAGACCAAAGGCGTTCAAAATGATACACTTAGCAAAAGGTCAGATTTTGCAGTTTATTATTGTTTTATTCTATAAGATGAATATTATCATCCTGTACCCGCATGAGTCACGATCGACCACACTAGTCGAGATATTCTTTGAATTAATGACAGGGCAGGAGATGAGAATGATCTCCAAGCATTCTGATGAGAATGCGATTGAACAGGTAACAATTTCCAAATTATGTGCCTAAAATGTTAAAAATATATTCTTCTCCTATATAATTAATTAGCACATCTTGAATCCTAGAATTCACTGTTTATCATTTATCCTCACTCAACAAAAACTGACTGACCTTCGGGAACTGCTCATTATATTTATAAATTGGTATCTGCTCCTCACTGATGACTATTAAATTGAATGTTTTTTGGTATTTTTCTACAACTGAGAGAACATCACTATATTAATCGTTAGCTAATTCAGGTGTGTATGTATGAGAGAGAGATATTATGAGTCTTGTGATACCAAATTTGAGAATTAGTATTCACTGGTTATAAATAAATGAAATCATATTCATTTTGGGGTATTATCACAAATACAAAGCGCAAGGAAGCACAGTTAACAAATTAAATCTCTTCAAATAAAAAAATCGTTTATACGAGATTTCAAGACTTTTAGTTTGTGTAAAAAAAATTAAAACGTGGAGGTTAGTTTTAATTTTCGCTTTATTGGTTCTGGCGCTGGATCGCATTTCGGCACTCTGGCAGTTTCGGCACTCTGGTATGCCTTCGGCACTCTGGTATGCCTTCTCAATTAGAACATAATTTGTAATAAAATTCGTAGCAATTTAACAAAGCGACACTTGTCTATCTTGTTTCTTGAGGAATCAATGAAATGTTCAAGATATTACAAATGCTCAACTTTTCTTTTATTCATAGGAGTCATTCGATATGAAAATCAAATGAAAGCAGTTGTTGTGGTGGTGTATCAAGAGATTCGAATCATCGAAAAAAATTTATACTCCGAGTTATGTATCTATAAAATTTTATATATCTATAAAATTGATCTTGGTTGCACTGAAACTGCAGTAGCCTTTCATTATGTCAGTTAGATTTGATGTAATTAATTACTTCTTGGCATATGTAGTCTTTTGCAAGATTAGGTATTCAGACCTACATAATTTTATGCAAGTCAGAAAAAAATATTTTGAAAAATTACAAAATTTTTTATTGCTATCGAAATCTTAACTGTCAAAATATAATACAGAAGCATGACTTAGTTGGACAATGTACAGGAATTAAGTGATTAGCAGTTGTTTTTGTAACTGATGTATTCGGCGTTGCTGTAAAACGTGTATTTTCTGTCGATACTACTGGCTTCATTTCTGAATTTGATTGTGATGCTATAAGTGCTAGTTCCTTTTCACTATCATTTGATGCTGGAGATCTCATATTGCAATTAGCATAACTGCTTGATTTGAATAGTGGAGTTTTTCTTGCACTTTCTGCATTTCCTATTTCCATTAAATCCAGTTGGTTACCACTGCTGTAGTTTCCTCCATTCTCGAGACCTTAAAAATGAATTAAGTAGAAAAAACAGAAAGTGAAATTTATGAATTCAAAATTATTTTGTCATGCGTTTATGAGAAAAAATATTCATATATCTACTTTGAAATAAATTTGTATCTACTTAAGATCTGATTTTTTTCCTTGTAGGAAACACAAAATTTACGTTCGCACAGGTTCAGAAAACTTACTGACTTGACTGCTTGAGCTTTGGGTAAAATCACTTGTGTTTTCATGATCAGTTAATCGAGTCTGGGCTATGCCTGCTGGTGTATTATGAAGGCAGAGGATTGGCAGCCGCGAGCAGTTTGTCAACTGTACCAGAATACGATTAGCATCCATAGAAATTATCTTGAATGAATAAAAAAGAGTGGTTCTTCTGTTAAGATTGATTATAAAATTTAGTTTCTTAATATGTGAGGTTTCATCTTACAGCAGAAGGTTCTATCTAAAAAAGACAGTAATTGAAATTTCAAATAAAGGAAAGTTTTCGTTAGTTTTAAAGATACAAGATTTTGAGCAACGCTGTGAGCATTGAGGGATGAAAGCAAAATGCCATTTTCTACGTCATATGCTTCAATCCAGCCGTTTGAATTTGCTGAAACATGTATATCGTTCTTCATTTTAAGTATTTAATTGTTTTACTTTATGATAAATTTAAGTAAATTTCATAAAAAACATTTGTGTAAATCAAGCCAAAATTCGAATGTTATTTAACAAGAAAACTACATTTGACAAAAAGTTTAAATAAATTTGACTATCCTATAGAAATATTTCACATGATAATGAGGAAAATTCTGTACATGAGAATTTGTGGGAGAAATTAGTATAACCTGAAAGAATCACAGATGCATCACCAGTTATAGCTAATGATGTCAAAAGAGAATCTGTCTTAAAAGAAAATTGTGCATTCCCTGTAGAAACATTCCATATCATAATTCTCGAATCTTTTGCACCACTTACAACTATGCTTTCATCACTGGCAATCGCACAACATGTTATTGCTTCTTCATGCCCAACTAGAACCTGCAGCTTCAATTTTATATTATTATTTGCATATCTCACCCATAACTCAAAATATTTCCATATTTCCTTTTTCTGGCAGTTATATCTTGCAGTCTATTTACAACATAGTGAGGGTTTATTTTTTCTACTCAGTTCTTAAAAGCACACAAAAAAAAGTGGAGGTTAATAGTACTTGACTACCCTTACACTGTTCATAATCCTGATATTTTTCAGATTATAAGTGATGACTCAGTGAAAACAATTTTGTTGGACGGTCAAGACTACGAGACGAGAAATGAATTGCATTTTTATAGTTTTTAGATTCTGCAGTGTTATCAAATATATAGCAATGTTTGCATTGTTGAGAAAATAATTGAAAAAATGTGAGATAGCTTTCACCTGCATGAGGAAACCTGATTGTACTTGCCAAAGCTTTAAGGATAAATCAGCTGACCCGGTAGCAAGCAATGTGCCATTTGTTGTGGCACTAAAGCATGTTATTTCATCGTTGTGGTATAGTCTTGCTTTTGTTATCACGCTTTCCCCCTCAATCCCCCATATTCTTAATCTAATAAAAAAAATTTCTTGTGAAGAAATTCTCGTAATTTCGCAAAAAAAATTTTAGAGTGATTTTTTCAACCTTAACAAGTATTGATTGATGCAATCATGAATTTAAAATGAGTATAAGATAGGAATGATTAATATAAACCAAAAAATACAGAAAATGGAATTTCTGAAAGATTTTGGAAGAATATCAAAAAAGCTCGTGAATATTACGTTTTTATTTTCTTCATCACAATGAGAAAAAAATTGCTGAAAAATGCACTTCATTAACAAATTTCACCCTATTAATCCAGTTTCCTCTACCTTTCACAAAGAATTAAGCAAGAGCTAGTTACATCACCTACTAAGTTTGAATTTAGGAACTCTAATAAATAAATGAGTACTCTTTATTGCTGTTCGGAAAGTGTCCAATGAGATGACTACTTTTAGCTAACAGAAAAACAGGTGGCTGAATTCCTGTAAATGTAAGAATTCTGTCCGCTTCTAATGTTTCATCAACAAGGAACAAATTCCAGATAAGTATGATGTTTGATTTATCCGCTGATAATATTCGTGAGCCATCAGATAAACAAAAGATGGATACAATGGCTTTACTGTGATGCTGCAAACAAAACTTTAAACGATTAGAATTTTTGGAGGGGATGGATACTCCTACAAAAACTTTGCCTTATTTTTAATACGTAAGCTACTCGATTATTTTAAGCACTTGATATGGCTGTTGGTCAAGTCAGTATTGTTGATGTATATAATTTCACTTCATCATTAATATTGGCACTGGTCATAAGTGAATTTTTTTTTCATTAATTTGGATAAGCCTGTAGTGATTAACAAAATCAAAAGTGAATGGAACAAAGGTACATTCTTACGTAAGAAGAAAGCAGACAAAAGCATGTGCTAGTAAGATGAAAGGCGGAATGATGCTGTTAGAAGTCAATAAGACTAAAAAAACATTTTTGCTGCTCTGGAATTTTAAGCAAATTCATATTTCTTAATATAGGTCTAATCAACTTTTATTTTATGATATTTGCCCCATGTCTTCGCACTAACATTTGATTTTGCAGATGAAATAATGAGTCAAATGAATAAGGCATTCTGAACTAAGTAATTTAAGGTTGGATTCAACAGCACTACTCACAGTTTTCAATATTTGCTGAGTTTCTTCTAATTTTATTGAAAGCAACATTAATTTTATCTTAGGGGTCAAATTACAAAACTCCATTTTATAACCATGATTTTACTCATTGTTATAGAAATCAACAAAATATAAACTTACATTAACTAGTCGTATTAACTTTCCGTCACCTGAGTTCCAAACATTGATTTGCCCTTCTGTATCTCCACTGAGCAAGAACTCACAGTCAGCAGAAAATTTCAAACAATTTACTCGAATAGCTTGTTTCTGAACCATCTGGAAGTGCAATTCCACGGGAAATTTCGTTTCGTATAATTCAAATTTATTAAGCATGATGCAAACGTCACTAAATTTCTTGGCATCTTAACAGAAACCATTTCACTGCTGAACATTTACGCCGAGATGTCTGTTTAATACAATGTTCTTTTTTTATTCACTATATGTGTAGTGTTTAAAATTTTAAATTAGTCCCTCAAAAAACTAACCGTAGAAATACATTGACATGTGTTTAAATCCCATAATGTGATGATACCATTACTTGTTGAACAAGCAACGCTTTTTTCATCTGATGACATGCAAATATCAGTAATTATTTCTGCAAAACTGCAAGTACTTCATAAGAATTCATTCAATCGTAATTATGTTTATTCACTTCTGAAGTTATTATCACTTAAGAAATGTGAAGGGAGGGTGAATGGCTGTTTTTGTTAAATAAGTAAGTAACCTTGTTCGTGATTACTTAATTTTAGTTCAATATGACGGTTTTGAATGTTCCAAATACTAATCCGATCACCACATGCTGATAGCAAAAAAAAACCATCACTTGTAATCTAAATTTTTTTCCATGAGAATTTTAAATTTCCTCAAAGACAGAATCAGCAAGCTTTTGATTGCATAATGTTTTGTTTGCTAAAAAAATAAAAACATTTCAATAAATACAAACCGACAATACAAACATCTCGATAAAGTTAGTCCACGGAATGTCACGAAATTTTGCGTAGATATTTTTGTCATCTAGGTATTTTCAATTGTTTTTCATTTATTCAGTTTAGTGATAGTTTGTCTGAAAGATATAAATTACCTGAAGCGAAGTAACAGGCTGTTTATTGACACAGCTTAAAATATCCAGAAGTCTTCCACTGTGTATATCAAATATATATATCTTAGCAATTGTTGCTGCAAAGAGTTGACAGTCATCAGAAGCTGCAATCATGGCAATAATTTTTCCATCATGCCCTGAGACTTCATGCAATTCCTGTCCAGAAACGGTCTCAAAGATCCGCAAAGTTTCATCCTCACAAGCAACAGCCACGAATGCATCGTTGCTGTAATTTTGAGAGTTACAAAATAATGTCACGAATAAATTTCAATGTAGTGAATTTAATATATACATATAATATGATCTTTTAATTCTTTACGGCTAATTATATTTTGGAAGGTATTTTCAAAATTATTTGAGGCTTGTATTAAAAAAGATACCGAAAAAGTGAATGAACCTTTCACCTAGTAATTGTCATGCATGAGACCGGAGCCATAAGACCTGCCAGTCGAACAGCCAGTGTTCCAGTCAATAAATTCCAGATCATAACAACAAATTCTCCAGAACCTGAAATCATTGCATCCTTTTGGTCTTATTTATAAGTGATTATTTAATACATCAGAAATGAAAACAGCTGCAACGTACCAGTAACCAGAAACTCATTACTTGATGTAAGTGCTAATGAAACAACAGTTCCTGTATGACCCTTGAAGCTCTGCGTAACTTGCCAGTTTTCAACAGATATTACCTGAAAACTGATTAGTTTATGATAGCACGCAGAAAGATTTTACTAGTTAATGAAAATTACAAATTGTGAGGAAACAGTTCTGAGAAGTACCTACATTGGCACATGAATCAGTGCCGCCTGTGATAAGATACTTGCAGTCAGAGCTTATTAACGAACAAACAACTCGTCCTTTATGTGGTTGCAGCACATGTGCACAGTGATTCTGCATTATTATAGGTGATATTATAGTAATGTTGCGTAAAAACATCATAAATGATGAAAATAATAATTAGTATAACACAGATATTTAGCGATAAATATTACGGTGACTGACAATCACAAAGTGAAGTTCAACCATGATAGTTTAAAGCAAATAAAAGTTTGAAGAAACTTCAATCAAAACAAAAATAAATGTGCAGTTAGGACTTGATGTGTGAGGAGAATTTTAGCTCTGGTGACTTGTAATAAGAAATGGGACTAGAAATTATATTGTGATAAGGAAATATATTGTTTCACTTGATTATTTATGAATATGGTTGCAAAACTATTTACCTGTGCAAAATTCCAAATTCTTACAGTACAGTCGGTTGAAGTTGTAGCAAAAAACATACCGTTACTGCTAACAGAGATAGACGTAACGCGTCCTTCATGCCCTAAAACCAAATCTTCTGCATTGCTTTTTACAAAAGTAGTGATATTAGTTGGAAAATATCATTTATTTCACTCATATATTGCTGTTAATATTGAAAAAAAAAATCAACTCCATTAAAGTTAACAATTATTTACCTGCATATGTACGCACCAATAACTGTGATGCAGTGTGAAACATATATACTAAACCAATCGACGATTCATTCCCCGAGATTAATAAATGCTGATGATTATGAGTTGGATGTAAGATTGTATATGATGACTGCCAATCAGGCAGTGTGAATGATAAAACCTGTAAATATTCCACGGAAAACTTTATAAGGAATTTGTCACTTCTACTAAAGTCGAAATTGAATTCATTACATAATCAAATAATAACGGCTCCGCCCCACTGAACTCATTAATAACTGATGAAAATAAGATAACTAGTATACATACCTGTTTTATTCTTTCAGGCGGTATCCAAGAGGTTAGTGGTATTAACAGGGGTTGAGCAGCGAACATATCAACCCAAATGACTGCCTGTTCTACCATTGTATTTAAAAATTGGCTGCTTTCTGCTGTAACAGTTGTGATACTTCATTTGTTGCTATTTTTTGTGAATATTTGGAAACTACTTAAATAAAGTTGTTTGAAAACAATTTTCTGAGTTCCCGTCTATCTTCAATTTTAGGCTGAAGAAACAAAAATATTAGATCCTCCTTTCAAATTTGACTCACCTTGTGTGTACAACCTACTGATTACCTCAGCTGCAAGCTGATTACGATCGCGTACGATTGTGTTTAATGATGGTAGTATAAACTGTTCACAAACTACCTCAAAGCAACTTTGTTTTGTTACCGTAAGTACTGGTTTTAGTGCCAAATCATAATCATAACGCTTAGTATCACAGGTGAAATGAAATGCGGTGAGAAAATTTGAAACTACATCATAAGCAGAGTACTTATCAAAAGATAGTGATATGCATGAAATTCTTGAAGAAAGCAAAGCTGAATGATAAAGTGATAAATTTTAATGATTATGTATTTTTGATCGAACATATAGTCCATAAGTCTTGTTTTCTTTGGCGTTCATTGTGATCATTGATGGATGACATCCTTATCATGACAAAAATATACTGTAACTGTTACTACTTACTTGCATTCCTACTGTCAGTGAATTTGGGTAACGTCGTGTTATGATATCAAGAATTTATCAGCTTGGAAATTGAGACTCCCAAGCAATCAAAAAAAATTTTCTCTTTTGAACTAAATTTATATTCCTTACATCTTTCTTTTGTTCTATTACTTAAAATTAAAAATTAAAAATGAGAAATTTTAACAAACAACTTGCATTTACAGATGCATGATGAGTTCTAAAACCTTATCAAGATAATGACAATGATACAGTTATTTGTTGGATTTAACATAATTATGTATGAATAGTGCATTTTCAATAAAGGAAGTTGAATTTCTTCTCTTGCGATATGAATTTTCAGGCGCTTTCAAAATAATGACATTTTGAGGATGCTTACAAAACTACCTGAATATCGTGGTGTAGCGCTTGTAATGAGCATTCTTCATATATACTTAGTAAGTGTAGAAGTCCACATGCGTGAACGCAAGCTTCAACATAGTCAAAATGGCAAAGAGCAAACTTTTTCAAGGCATCCATATTACCTATGCAACAATTTTGCAGTTTGATGCAAAAAGTTTTAAAAATTTACATTAATATTTTCAGAAGAAGTTGCAATGTCATGTCCTACAAAATCTCCAACTTTCAAATCATTTTATACGCTTTGATTTTTATTTTCTAGACTGATAAACAGCTATCTGTGCAAATTATTGTAATTTCTGTAAAAGTGACTCATGTTCTCTACGCAAAAATAAAAAGCTGATAACCGGCGTGTAGTAGATGGTACCATAAATTATGGATTTTTCGTCTGTTTACGGTACCATCATCCCTTTTCAGTGGTCGTGGGTAGATGAAAATTATTGTTGGTCGGGCTGACATTGAATCGTCAGAACAAGTAGCAAGATCAGCATATAGATCAGCCAATAAACTGTGAATCTTTTCAAGTTCAACCTAAAGAAGTAGATATTTGTTCTCCAAGCTATTAATTATGATTCCATTTTTAACCCATCACCACAATTTCTGACACTGATTAGAAGTAAATGAAAAACTTAGTTAATTCATTTTTTTAGTTTACTGCTTTTGAGTACTAATACCTTATACAGAATATGTTAAACAGACCGTATTTGACAAATAACGATGACGAATAATATTTGCTATATATACGTGGCTCCATTTGTATACTAAACGATTTTCATGTACTAATTCCATCATGAAGCACCCTTGAATTCCAATTACCAAATTTTAAGTTATATCATAATTTTTTACTGCTTCTTTATTCCAAAAACCTCTCAAGATTATTGTTTTTTAAATACTGTAAACTGCAAATAATGACTGAAAATTAAAAATATTACACAGCAACAATGAAATGACAAATTATTTCTTGCTCTATTACCATTCAAAATTTAAAGAGTACAAACCAAGCTTATCAATAACTAAGTGCAATAAGATTGATAAAGATAGATGGTCAGGAATTTCATTCTGCAATTCAGAGTTTATCATCAGTGCATCCAGAAGCTCTAAACTTGTAATCCCATGAGGAGCAACTGTTAGAAATTGCGCAAATAACCGTACCAATACAATGCCTAGATTATTTTCAACCCCATTAAGCCATTCATTAATATCAGCAACCAGTGGACGGTTCATACCACTAATTATCTGCTTTAATAATAACTGAACGATGATGATGCTGTTATTTTTTAATTTCACCTAGAAATATGTACATATTCAGATATTTATTATGAAATAATATTTGAATCAAGATCAAAGTTTCAAAGTCATAAGTTCTGGAAAGTTGTACCATATCAAGGATATCATTCAGTTGCTTTTGATTAAGAGTATTTTCAGCGGTATTTAAGCTGATATAATGCGCAATATCCTCTGTTGTAAAATTCGGTAAAATGAATCGAATGGGCTGGGGCATAAAAGGAAGAGGCATCGAATAAACTGATGAACATATTAAAACAAGATTATCGGGACATTTCTGGAATGATTCCTCCAATACACTAAGAATTCTTCCATATCTGATGTTGTTAACATCATCAATTAATACGAATACTGGTCGATCCAGTTTCTGGAGCAAAAATTTGAAGATAGCCAAAGTTGACGACAAATGAAATGAATTTATGACTGAGTCGTCATTCTCACCCATTAAAAAACACAAGGTCAAGCAAATTCCATGCCACAGTTCGTGTGCGTATTGAGATTCTGGTGTTAAATTAACAAATCTGAAACTTTTATTAAAAGTAATGTACTTATGAAAAATCTAATCAATAAAAAATATTTTCGGGTATTAATAAAGATCCGAAAACAGTAAATTTACAATCATTTGATAATGATATAATAAGGAATAGATTTATAGAGAGAATTTTCAATACCTTGTGATGACATAACAATGTTTTTCAACTAGCACAGCGTGAAGCCTACAGATAAGTGCAGTTTTGCCAGAAGCTTCACTTCCTTGAATATGGTAATATCCAGTATTCTGCTCAGTCCAGAATCTCAATGTCTCATCGATGCTTACACGAGATAGCCACTTCTTTGGCATTTGCATTTTTGCAAACATAACATGTGCATTATGTTCGGCTTTTACCAATGATGGTACATCACTCGGTAGACCACGTGGTGGATCAAGTGCGTAGAGCAACTGTAGCAAATGATCAGTCACCTAGAAATGCAATAGTTGAAGATGAGATTAGGTAGTAAGAACGAATATAAAATCCTAGTGCTCCTTTTCAGAGATTAATCATGAATTAGTACAAATAAATTGACTTTGTCACACTGAAATGTTCGGAAAATTCGCGTTTTGAGGAAATTTCTAGCAAAAGTTTAACATTTAATGAGGACAGAAAGAAATGAAGCAAAATACCTGCTGCACAAGGGAATTAGTGTATTTAATATGTGACTGAGTTATCTGCCAGGATTCAACGTTCTCATTTTTAGATCTTGAACGAATAGAAACAACAGATGCTTCATTTGTTGTTGCTTCCTCTTTTGGTGCTTTAATTTTGTTGTATTCTTCACTTTCCTTGTCGGTGTATTTCGTACCATGAATCGTCCACGAATCATCTGTCCATTAAAATTTTTAATTCGATAATAAAATGAAAAGAGACCATGGGTAATAACAATTGATAGATCATTACCTTCCATGTTGCGCAGACAAAACACAACTTTCTTAGGTTGTGTCAAAGCCATTCTGACTATTCTGTCTGTTGCAGATAAAAGCAGGTTGTCCTCAACTTTTGATTTGTTTCGTTCATCATTTTTAGACATCTCAAAATCAGTAGTTTTTGTGATGTAATTTTGTTTTTCGCACTGAAACGATTAATTTTCTGTTTATTAGTACAAGTGTCAATTAATTATGTTTTTTCGACAAGTAAAATTATTATTGATGATATCGAAAAAGGTAAGGACAACGTTTATCTTAGAACCTGCTGATTAGGATTTTGGTGTAAAATGGATATTAATCGTATTTGGTCAGTGAATTTAATAGCTGTGTCTCGAAGCTGATAATGGACTGATTCTGCTTCCTCACATCTTTCATAATATTGATTGAATAATTGGATTTCTGTAACAAAGCTTACATGGAGTCACAAATCTATCATTTGTAGCTAAAACAAATTTTCAACTTGATACATTTAACACTAGTAATATAGATGGTTGCAAGTTTAACTTAATTAGCAGACGGCTCTTACAAATCCAAACAAGAATAGGAAAGATAAAAACCATTAATCCTGAATCGAAATTGAAAAATTAGTCAAGAAGCAAATGAATCATAGTCACCATTGCTTGTTTCCGGAAAGCTTGTTTCGATTGTGCGAAATATTTCTGTTGATATTTTCTTGGATAAGACACATTTCCCATACCGATCTCCCATGAAACACTAAAAATATATTGTAGTTATTTTATTAACTTAGCAACATTTCGTTCATAATTTTGTAAACTTATGATCGATTAATTTATTACAATGTTTCCATAATATGCTAACTAGAAGGTAAGAAGTCGGTTTGGAAAATAAATTAAGAATCGTTTCAGTAGTATCCGTATCCAAGCTGTCAGTGAGTGGCTCAACAAATTCTATATCGATACCAGTTTGTGCAGCATACTGTTGTATATGAGGTATAACTTCGTCAAGTAATACACGATGTTCACATTCAAACTCTGCCAAAAAATCTAATGAATTTTAAACATATTATTGCCAACCTATTGTTATTAGTGTGGTAACAAAAATTTAGCAGGTCATTGTGAAGCCTAAAAATTACTACAATAGTTATTTTTGCAAACACTATTGTTTTAAAAAAGTGTTAGAACTGTGTCAGTTAGAATTTTAGTAAATTTATTGAAAGTAGCAAAGAGTTTCTCACATCACAGAGAGAAAATGAATTTCAAAACTTGAATGTTAGCAAAAGTTACTGAGATTTTACTTCTTACACATTTATTGCAATAAATGAAGTGATAGGCAAGTTGTATGAACATAAAAAGTTTAGATTGAGGTAAATAAAATTACGCAATAACGAGGAAAGTAAACCTTCTAGAGAAGGGAAGAAAAGTATGATGCGGACTTGTAAAAGTGTTACTGGTGATTCTTCCGATTCTTGGTGTTTCTCCTCAGTTCCATCAATTTCATGGTGCATATTTGTTTTACAAGGAATAGCTCCAAGAATTCGCCGAAACATGAAAATAGGGTTATGGCTATTATAATGAGGCATATACTGCTGATGTTACTAATTCCGTGACCATGGCAACATTCATATCAGTTTCAGAACCCTGTAACTTCCTTTTATTCATTGAAGTGTGTGAAAGTCTACCATCTTTTCCAGGTACTTTTTTATGGTTTACGGCAAGAAGAAGCAGAAGGAGAGGAATGACGAATCTTTAAATCGAGTTGTACATACTTTGAAATCAAAAAATTGGAATTCTACGCAGATATAGTAAAGAAATATAAGTCGCTTTCACTTTTGTGATATCCCAGAATGTGAAAAAGATATCTCATCCTTTAATATAAAGATTTAAACTAATTTAATTGCAACATATGTAACGAAAAATCATTGAAATAGACAAAGTGATAATTACGAGGTGAATTTTTCAAGTTTCATATTTTGTGGTACTAATTAATCATCATTTTCTATATTATTTCAGAATAAAGTAAATGAAACTATATTATTTTTAATCAAAAATATTAAAACAAGGCAATGGTTGTTTCAGTTCTCCTAGTTCAGTTAAAACACTGAGGTGATTTTTAAAACCAAAAGTCATGAATGTCATTTTGCTTTAGTCAGTAGAAATTTTCATAGACATCCTTCTGATTTCACTTGAAACGGTTTCATATTGATGAGTATCCTAAGAGCTTTTTTTTATTTTTTTAATTCAACTAAACCGACTCACCAATATCATTTTCTATGTAAATTGGAAAAAAAAGCCAAAAAAAGTCAATGAATGTAAATTGTTTTGCCTGATATATCCAAATGAACTAACTAATCGAAAACAGAAGTGAGAATAAATGGTTGTTGCTATGACATTCATTTGGTGTGAACTAAAACATGCGAGTGTTGTTAAACTTGCTGATTAGCTTGCTTAGAATTTATCCTATTTGAGCTATTTAATTTTTTATGCATCAGGAAATGATATGATGCCGAGAAAAAGGAACGTTAAGAGGGATTATTTTAACTAATACAATTATGGAGGTTTCAGTCACCAATAATAACAACACTATTCAATTTCTAGAGAAAAAGCGAAGTTTGCCTTATTCATTTGTTTAAGTGGAGTATTTTATTTTGATACATTTAATAATTGTAAATTATCATTCTATGAAAGAAAAAATTGTGACTATAATAGTGTTAATTACAATGTTAATAATAGTAATAAGAACAATGATGATAATGGTTGTAATATTAATGATATCAGTGCTTTTTCGTAAATATAAAGCAACTGCCAATCAAATTCTTCTTTTTCATATATATTTCGGAAAAGGGAATGCTGAAAAATGCTTCTGATCCTGAAAGAAGGAGGTCCAGGCTTGCACATTGAGATCCTCTTTATTAATATATGTAATCTAGTAGCTTTGAGGAACTTTTCTGTGCACATTCAATTATAGGAAATTAAATTCACATCCATTTAAATCTGATATCCAGTGGTTAGACCAATGGTATGGTTGCGTGAATTCGTTATATTTCCTTTAACCAGACATCGAAGAATGATTTCTATCCGTAGCGATCAAACGTTAGTAAAAAGTGATTATAACTATCAATTCTCTGCTGTGAAAATTTTATTTTGTCAGTTGTCATGTGCTAAAAATTGATTCCATAAAAATACCTTCAAGATTTTATCATCAATTGAAGAGAAAAAACACCAAAAAAAAAGGGCATAACTTGCATTTAAAATCAAACAATCAAGTAAATCGAATCAAGTCAAACCGATACGAAAATGAATAAGATTCCTTGATGATTCTGTTTTACATCATGCATTGCGCGTTTCACTCTGTAAAGGATGTATGCAAAACAACGATAATAAAAAGAATACCGCAGAATACTGGCTCTACATTATCTTGTAAAAAATATTCATGGTTCAGTTAAAAACTTTTCAGAGGGAGGACTGTATTATCTCTCGTATCGGTATGAAGAGTGCTTAATGCTTGGCAATTACAGGAAATCTTTTTGAAAATATGTGAAAACTCACCTCAATCACGTAATCTCGAGTATAATAGCGTTTATGATCAAGGAACGTCTTACTACCTTCCGGTGATATGTTTACTTCTCGATGCCAAGCTTCTCCAGCTCCATCATTACGACGCAATAATTTGTCTCTTTTACCTGTCCAACTCTTTGTTAAGCACTCGCTCATAATGCTGCCATTCTCATCACGTGTAATCCACTTATCCGTTACGCTTCTTTTCATTATTTCTTCAAAATCGCAATACTTGTTTAGATTATTATGCTTTCTTCAAATGAAAAAAGGATTATAAAATCGTTAAGAAATAATTATAGTGATCACTATCAAGCATATCAGCAAAACAAATGATAAAAATAATAACCGCTGTTAATGAATATATATTCCATTCAGTGCTTTGATTGAAAAAACTCAGAAATAAAGTTCTGCTCTACTTAAATATTTGTTTGTTTTTGGTATTCTCCTTTTTTAAGCAAAAAATTCGAAATTGACACTTCTATTTATTGTCATATACTCCTAATTTAAGTGTTAAATTGACAATGATGGTGAATCAAATTTTTTGTATTTTCTTGATTAGGAGACAAAAATGTCAATTTGGAAATATGAGCAACTAACTCAGACGATATAAGCAAGTAATATTTGGTAAATACAGAAGTAAACTGCGATCTCTACTATCAGACTTGACTAGTTGTCAAAAACATTTTTCTCTGAAAATTAATACTAATTTGTAATAAAATTTTAATGTCATTAAAAGTTAAGCTTGACTTTTAATCCAGGGTTGCTTCATGTTCTTGTTTCAAAACATCTTAGATTATATCATAACTTTTCATTCTTTTGATATTAATGTCAATCAACGTAAATCCTGCAGTTTCTCATCTTTATTAAAAGTATGCAGAATTCGAGCAGTGATAAGTCTTTCTATTCCTAAAAATGATTACAATAATTTCTGAAAGAGTTGTACAACTTTTGGCTTTAATGTCCTGATCAGAAAAGAGGCGAATAATATAAAAAGAAAATGGTAACCCATGATTTATTTATCTTTTCATATTGCACTTATATATATAATACTTATCAGCCTTGCCGAGCTTCTGAGCGGTTGGCTCCGAGGTTGGCTCTGAGCGGCTGCATTCAACGAACATTA